CTCTCTGTCTTGCTTTCATTCGGCAAGTCACAAACGATATATGATACTCGTATGTTCCTACTTCAACTCTCGAGAATCTGAAACAAACGAAACTCGTGTCCAATATACAGGGTGTCCGGTAACTAACAGACCAATGATTACAAATGGATTCTTTGGTCAATTTGGGAACGATTTTTCCTCAGCAAAAATGTCGAAAAAGGTCATCATTTTTTACAACTTTCCAATCTTTGTCATTATGTATCTTTATAACTAAGCCTTAAATTAAAATTTTATTATAGTAAACTCTACCTGAAATTAACTGAAGAATGTAATTATGTTAGACTTTTAACTCCAAAACGTTTAGTTTTCAAAAAACCTATTTTTTTCAATCGCTTATAACTCGAAAATTATTGACTTCTCAACATTTTTGCTAAGGAAAAATCGTCTCCAAATTAGCCAGAGAATCCGCCCTTAATCATTGGTCCGTTAGTTACCGGACACCTTGTATATATTATATAAAAGTGTATAGCACGTCAGAAGCTTGTGAGCTTACAGCGATAAGTAAAAACAATTGCGTATTTATTTCATTGCGTTTATCTGTTTAAACGCGCGCTTTAATTTTTCCAACGTTTTTGCCTGTTTATATTTTAAAGGTCCTCTCTTCTAAAAATCTTGTTTTAAAGATCCTCTCCGCGAGCAAAATTCGAAAACATAAATTATTTAAATTTAATAAGGAAAACAATTAGATATTTAAAGACAAGGCTCGTGTGATATTATAAAAATAAGATTTAGAAAGACAGGGCCAACTATAACGAGCATATTAAATTAGTGAGAGATGTAATGTCAACACATAATTGATTTATTTCTTAGTAGATACAATGATAATAAAAATAATAAAACGTTTCGGCTGTTACCTCAGCCTTCTTCAGTAAATATAAAAACAATAAAAATTCTCTTAAGAAAAATTATGACATATTACGCATTAGAGTCTATTTTTTAATGAACATTTTGGTTTAATAAGTCGATAAATTTAAATTGGGTTACGCTTATAACATTTATTAAATTAGATATTTTTTCTAATCGGCTAACCATTTTTTAGTTAAGATGGTAAACTTTTTGATTATGTCAAAAAACATGTAAACGAGTTCCCTGTGTTAGTAGAACAGGTTGACGGCCCATTCCACGTCATCAATTCTTTTGAACATTATTAGTTAAAATTATCGTCAGAACCGCTTGATATGAGAATTGAAAACAATTAGATGTTATCCAGCATCAAAAAGTTAGTCCCCATCATCAAGGATATTTCCGAGTAAGTTCGTCATTGCAGTATATTTTACCGTGATTGTCTAAGTATATTTTTATTTTTTTGGTATATTAATTTATATTAATAAGTTATTTTTTTTTGTGAAAGATCTTAATTGTGTTTAGAATTGCTTACTTAAATTGATGAGTAGTCAAGATTCCGCCAAGTTGATGTGTTCACTATACAAAGTCACATAAATTATTTAATATTTTTACTTTATTATTTGTAAATCCTCGGTAATTTCAAAATTTTTCTATTTGAAAATTATTAATTTTCTATTGCCAATTAATTTTATCACAGACTTTACTCTTACTCCCATTGCACTTTCGTTTGCGGTTTTCAGTATACGATTTTTTATCGTAGTTACTGAAAATTATTATTGTGAATTATACTTGTGCAGTGATTTGAAGAATTTACAATTTCGTTGAAATTGTTGATTTTTCAAAAAAATTACGAGATTCGCGGAAATTGCGTGCTTTCTTGGCATTTTCCGTTCGCGGCAGGCGGTTTATTTTTGATTGTTGCAAGTGTTTTTGTTTTTTTTTTTATTAAAATAGATAATAATAATGTGAAATAAATCACGATATTTGACAGATGTGCATATATATAGAAATTGTAATAATAATAATATTATATCATAAAATTGTAAATTGTTTCAATTTTTTATAGACTGCGATAAAAGATTTTACATTTGGATAAGAAACTGCGGTAAGTAAAAATATAAAATTCTTGAAAACGTAAAAATATTTGATAACGTAAAAAGGTGAACTTTGAAAAATAAGGAACTTAAAAATTGCACTAATAAATGGGCTATATATATGTGAGCCGTGCGCGGATGTAAGGTGTGTTATATCGAAATTTAATTAATAGAATTGAGAATTAATCCCAATTTTAAGTCTTACAAATGTCCAAGCTAATTTTTTGTACCTCGTGTACATTTTTGAAAGTTATATCGAAAAATTAAATTTCAATATGCGTCTTACATCTCACATTTCGCATACGGCTCACATATAGCCTATTTATCTCTTATACTTTATTTCAACCCTTATAGAAATTTATTACTAGTAACGCCAATTTATCACTTATTTCGAGTAATTAATCACTTTTATTTCGAATACTTAAATTACTGTATATTATAGTATTTTAAATACTCAAAATAAGTGATTAATTGGCGTAGTGATAAATTTCTACAAGAGAATAAGGAGCCTTTAAATTCTTAATGTAAAAAATTTCAAGTAATTTTCTTTAATAAAATTTAATTAAAAAATTTAATTAAAAAATTTTTGAACACTGTGTTATATCACATTTAAAATCGTGATTATTTCAATAAAAAAACATTTTATGTGTAAAAAATATATTTTTTATATTTAATAAATTTTATATATATATATGCATATATGTAAAATATTCTCTCTCTCTCTCTCTCTCTCTCTCTCTCTCTCACACACACACACACACACACACACACAACGGGGGCCAAATCTCTCAAATTGGTCTCATGATCAATTAGCCTGGATTCGCACCAGGGGCAAAGTCTGTTGGTAATGTCAAACGAATTTAGCCTGGACTTGCACCAGGGGCAAAGTCTTTTGGTCGAGTCTACGAAATTTAGCACGGACTCGAACCAGGGGCAAAGTCTTTTGGTTCAAGTCTACGAAATTTAGCACGGACTCGAACCAGGGGCAAAGTGTGTCGGTAAGGAGCAAAGTCTATCGCACGAAGATGGCGGTCTCTTCTTTAGGCAGGCCTTTGGCGATCTGTCTATTAACAGAGAGAAGGATGAGAGTGGTCATCCCCTCGATTTAGCTGCAACCGGAATTCAAAGCGCCTCTATGTGCACAAAACGTGCACATTGAACTACGTAGCCATGTGCACGATGCTCCCGAGTGGTAACAGGCTATGTGCACGGTACGTGGTTCGATTCCGTGCTATGTGCACAGATGAGCGCCAGTAACACGTAGCTGTTAAAGGAGATGAGTTCGAGACCTCGCAGGGCCAATTTTTTTTTTTTTTTTTTAGTACGACTATATTTGTCAATTTAATGAAATCCTTTTAATTATTGTGGAATAAAGAGATAAAATGCATTTCTCAAGCGTACGCGAGAAAATCGAAATCAAAAATAATGAGTGCCGTATAAATACGTATGGAATAGAGCGTTATATCGAAGAGCGTGTGGCGTAGCGTTAAGGGGCTAGACACGTACCGTCGAGATTAGAGGTTCGATTCTCAAGGAGTGACTTTTTTTTTAATATTTTTTTATTTTAAATAAAATTTTTTTTTACCATAAAATGTAATTTTTACACAAAATAAATGTAAATAACACGATTTATTTACTTATAACACGTATATTACAAAAATGCATTTTTCTTTGCCTCAAAAAGCCGTGAAAAGCCGTCTGTAGAATAGCTGTATGCGATAGGAACTTGTATGATTATCTGTTTAATTAAAAATTATCCGATTTATGTCGTGTTTGGTGTCGTTGAAATCGCAAAAATCTCAATAATCCATTAATATTATTTTTGAATAGATAAAATGCAAAATAAAGGTTTTAGTTTTTCACTTATAAGATGTTTATATTTGTGAATTGCCATGGATGGGGAAGCCTATTGTTCGAGAGTTCGGAACTTTCTTTGATGATAGGTCCTCTCGCTCGCTCTATACTCGCAGTCTCGCTTTCTCTCTCGCACACGACGAGTTGTGAGATGAGCTCGAAAAGATAAGCGGGCCCGAGCGCCCGAGTATCGAGATCAAAGAACGTTCCGAACTCTCGAACAATAGGCTTCCCCATCCATGGCAATTCACAAATATAAACATCTTATAAGTGAAAAACTAAAACCTTTATTTTGCATTTTATCTATTCAAAAATAATATTAATGGATTATTGAGATTTTTGCGATTTCAACGACACCAAACACGACATAAATCGGATAATTTTTAATTAAACAGATAATCATACAAGTTCCTATCGCATACAGCTATTCTACAGACGGCTTTTCACGGCTTTTTGAGGCAAAGAAAAATGCATTTTTGTAATATACGTGTTATAAGTAAATAAATCGTGTTATTTACATTTATTTTGTGTAAAAATTACATTTTATGGTAAAAAAAATTTTATTTAAAATAAAAAAATATTAAAAAAAAAGTCACTCCTTGAGAATCGAACCTCTAATCTCGACGGTACGTGTCTAGCCCCTTAACGCTACGCCACACGCTCTTCGATATAACGCTCTATTCCATACGTATTTATACGGCACTCATTATTTTTGATTTCGATTTTCTCGCGTACGCTTGAGAAATGCATTTTATCTCTTTATTCCACAATAATTAAAAGGATTTCATTAAATTGACAAATATAGTCGTACTAAAAAAAAAAAAAAAAAAATTGGCCCTGCGAGGTCTCGAACTCATCTCCTTTAACAGCTACGTGTTACTGGCGCTCATCTGTGCACATAGCACGGAATCGAACCACGTACCGTGCACATAGCCTGTTACCACTCGGGAGCATCGTGCACATGGCTACGTAGTTCAATGTGCACGTTTTGTGCACATAGAGGCGCTTTGAATTCCGGTTGCAGCTAAATCGAGGGGATGACCACTCTCATCCTTCTCTCTGCTATTAATCTGTGTCTAAACTTGCGTTCGATATATCTCGATATGTACTTCGAGAATCGCGATAGATGAAATTTTCGAATTTTTCTCGCGACTTGTGGCAGCCCTGCGACTGCGGACGTCATTTTTTGCGCCATTTTTCGTCGCGATTCGCGTTACGTCGTTCCGTCGATTTGAGACGCGTCGTGTATGCAAATACACGCGTATATACATCGAATATTCGCGAGCTTCGAGTCGGGCGCGAGTGAGCGGAGTGCACGATTGTCAAATGACAATCGAACGGCCTCGACGATTCTGATCCAGCGCGGGGTTTTGCGTTTTGTAGGTGGAGGGGAGAGAAGGACGCGGATCTTTCGAAAGTGGCACACGTAGGCAACAGGTGTCCAACGCCGTTAAATGCCGCACGCGCTTGACAGTTCGTGACAGCTGACGACGAGAAACGGGAGTGCGCAATAATCATTTATTCGTTTCGCTGAAACAACATTGTTTATTTCGCTCGCTGGCAGCCAGTGCCAGATCGAGCTCTCCTTCTCTCTCTCACTCTCTCTCTCTCTCTTTCTTGTTGGAGCACTCACGAGATTCTTCCCGAGATGAATTACGATTACTTGGTGAAGTTCCTGGCGCTCGGAAACTCCGGCGTTGGAAAAACAAGCTTTCTTTATCAATATACCGATGGTACTTTTAACTCTCGATTCGTATCCACTGTTGGAATTGATTTTAAGGAAAACGAGTGGTAAGAAAATATATTTTACGTATATATATGTGTAAATTTTCATGTGATTACATTGTACGAAGGTTGCTTATGTTTGTATGTGTATAGTTTTAAATAAATTGTTTGTATATTAGAAATAATATTGCGATAACACAGACTTTGAATGATTAATGCTGCAAACTTAAGTAGAAGCGTTAAGTATCAGGCATGTGCCATGCGTACATATAGAGCAATGATAAATGATAAAAGAATTGTGTATTCTCTACGCCACGCTGAGACATTCTGTTTGATAAAAGTCATTTATTGTTACAGATATATCAAACAGCAAATGGCAGAAGTCAACGAGTGCATTTACAGCTTTGGGACACAGCTGGGCAGGAACGGTAAAGTACATGTAGATAAATTTGTAGTTAGAACATGTAATTAGACTTTGATCGCTAATCTAAATATGCATTTGTTGCACTCTTTGAGAAATGATCATAAATTTTAACAAATATGAAACATGTATTTATGTTATATTTACAATTATTCAATTAATCATGATAAAAATAATATAAACATGTATGATATTATGCTGCAACTATATTTTACATTAATAATATTGAAATAATAATTTAATTGCATTACTGCGATTAAGGCTTATATATGCCAAAGCGCATATTGCAAAAATCTGAAAGATTTGAACACATCGAATAATATATAAGCATTATTGATATTCTAATTAATATGTATGATGCATTCTGCATGTGCGCAAACACAAAGGTTTAGTGCTTCTAATCTAATATTCCACACAAGTAGTTTAACATTGTTAAAATCCAGGTTTAGAAGTCTAACCACAGCCTTTTACCGGGATTCCATGGGTTTTCTTCTAATCTTTGACCTGACCAATGAGTTGTCGTTTCTTGAAGTTAGAAACTGGCTGGAACAGCTTAGGGTACTCATCATTTATTATTGTGAATATTATGCAAGATTGGGGGTTTGGTTTATTTAACCAAACGATTCTTTGAATCAATTCTTTGTTTGAGTTGAATTCTATTTTTTTAATTGCTGTGTATAACGTCTTGATGTCTGTGTTGATATGATGCATGAATATAATTATTTTAATTATTTGTTTGATATATGGTTCTGGTATGAAGTATGTGGGTGTGATTGGTAGGGTTGCTTGCAGAATACTAACATGGCTCTAAATTTAAACAAATATGACACAAGCTATCTGAACTATTTAAAAAGAAGCATGTATTATATTTATAAAATACTTGCTTGGATTGTGCTAACAATTTTGAAAGAATTGGTATAATACCAATACTCAATACATATAATTGGATGATCTAACAATAAATGCCATTATTTTGCATTTATTTGCATCAATTAACATATTTAATGTGAATAAATACAGGAACATAAAATACATTTATATTTTTATATTAATATGAATATATAAATTGAGAAAAATCTGTTAAATATATTTAAGAATTCTTACCAAAAAATTGCTATTTTTTCTATGCATTATGCATAGTATTTTGAATTTTTTTATGTAATAACAAGTTATATAAAAATTGAGAATATGCAAATTTTCCAATTTGTATGACGTTTTAATTATATTTTAATCAATACCATTGCTCAAACTATCATTCGATTTAAAAATTAGTGAATATTTAATGAAGAAAGTAACATTAATGACTAAGAAATTCATTATTAGACGAAGAAAGTCGTTTTTTTAAAACGGTATGTATGCCTATGTATGCTTCAAAATTGGATAATGTAATTGTAAATTTAGTTTGCATGAAATGTTTTTGTCTAACACGCTTGCCTCGAAATTTTTTACGTTTATTGAATTAACGGGATATTTTATGTATAAATACGCACAGACACACGCATATTCTGATGAACCAGACATAATTCTCTGTGGCAACAAATCCGATCTTGAAGACAAACGTGTCGTCAGCGAATATAAAGCGCGAGATCTTGCTCAAAGGCACGGGTAAGTCAAATCAGAAATTGTAAAACGCATGTAACGTCATTTAAAAATACATATATCGTGCAATATATATACATATTTTTAATATATTCGCTCAAGTGAAATTATTCTCTTTTGCAGCTTGGTTTATTTGGAGACAAGTGCCGCGACCGGCCAGAATGTCGAGCGCGCCGTGGAAATATTATTGGACCGCGTAATGCGCAGGATGGAGGCTACGGTGGACAAATCGTTGTTACCGCATCAAAAAGTTTTAAGATGCCACGAACGCGATACTCCACCGCCCAGTAGTTCCTGCTATTGCTGACAGTGCCGGTATATGTAGTTATCCAAAACTACTATGCCAAAAATCAAAGAAAAGAACATATTATGAAACTGGCACTTTACATTTGTGAAACAAATGTAAATTTCATTATAAACTTTTTCAGTTAACATGTTTGTTGCGAAAAATCGGAATATAATTCTATATTAATTACTTTTATACATGCCACATTTGTAACAAAAATTATAATTCTTATAATCTCAAAAATTGTGAATATTGACGAAAAATTGTATTGAAAATGAAAATTAATTGACATAGTTGGAGAAAAACTTAATAGAAATGATAAAATATGGTTTAATTAATAATATTTTGATTGACAATAATATAGAAGTTTCAGTATTATGTGAATCTCATTATGAATAAATAAATATGCTTCGATTTTGAATTTAGTAATTAAAAAAATTTTTATAGAAACTATTTTTATTATATATCTTTTTCTGCAATGAAAGAAAAAGTGTAATTATGCACAATATTTTTTAATGTTATAGTTTTGTGGCAAAAATTGTGACTGCAATATTTATGCATATATATATGTTATAATGACGGTGCAACAAACATGTTAAGAAACTGCGATAAATATATTTCTACAAAATAGCTGTCTAGCATACTTCTCACAGGAGACCATACATATGAACATTGAAAATTTCTTGTTATTCTATATACATATGTACTAAATGTCTTCCATCATCGCTTATTATCAAATGAAAGCACTCCTTGAATTCAGCAAACCTGCCAATGAACTCTCGATTACTATATTTATATAATAACGTGGAACTTTGTCTTCTACGGACATTGTTTTTTTCGGAATCTCTTTAACACGTTTACTCGGTCCTAAAATTCTTTGTATACTATTGTCGTCTTCCACTGTTACTTATCCTCGAATAATGACGTTCATTGAATTTTAACGGCATTATTTAATTAAGACTATCTTTTATTATCCTACAATAATACTGACGTTTTCTATCACTATTTCACACGCACAAGGTGTTCAATAAGTCAATCTTTTCTTACTTGCCAAAAGTGTGATATGCAACCGGTGTGTCGCAAGAGACGTTTTGGAAATTAAGGTAATTCACTTTTGACTGTGTGTAACGTATTTTTGATGATGTTATTATAATCAATCAGAGTCGATATATTTAATCATAAATGATTAATATATATATATATATATATTATACACAAATTAAATCGAAATACCTTATAATGCGCGTAAACTAATCTCTTGTGATATTTATATCATATATTGAATGAAACTATAAATGATTGTATTGTGATTAATCACTAATGCCTCAATTTTATGAAATAAATACTACTACTATGTTGAAAGAGAATTATATATTTATAGTGTAATAAGTGTTTATAAATACATATGTATAAATATATCGTATGATGTATAAATATATCGATTTTTCCCCGAAATCTAAAACTTTGAATCATTTTTTCTAGGAATACCCAATATTTCATTATATTTATTAATATTAACAATAGATATTGTTATTAAAAATTTTGCACTTTTATTAAGTTGTTAATTGTGACTTAGCACTCTGAATTGGTCTTTTACTTCACGAGATGAGATGCTAAGAGAGTAAATAAATAGGTAAGTTTATAGAATTATGTGTATTATGGAAAAGGTATAATCAATCTTAACTGCAGTTTACACAGAATTTCAACTCATCTTCCTATCTCGGAATATATTAGCATTAAATTGCGCAGGAAAAAAAGAGTAATTGAAAATTATGGACGTTATAGAAGACTAAAAATTCTTTAATTTTTTTTTACTAAAGGTTATTACGTAAAATTTTAATGCGATGTTGTTGCTGATTTATTATCTATAAAAAAATGTTATCCTAATTAAAACGTGAGATAATTGTAATGTCACTGTGATGAGAACATGAGAATAATTTTAGATGGTATGAGTATTGATATTATTCGTGATAGAAATAGAAATGAGAGCGCAAGGTATACTATCTAAACTGTAAACAATAGAAACTCTGGAAAGTATCTTGAGAAAAACATTGAAACTTCAACGTTTCATCAATGAGACGAGGAGTTATAAAGTACACTAGAAGAGATTAAAGTTTGCCGAGAAACTTGTTTTATTGCTGTACTTATTAATCTATTTTCTGCATAAGGCTTGTTTATGCAGATTGAGATGCCGATTATAAAATACATAAATTCTCGTTACATGAGAATTAGTAATTTTTTAAATTTAATAGATTTAATTTATAATATTTTTTGATATAGAACTTTTCAAATGCTAATCACAATTCTCAAGAAAGGGGCAGATTAAAAAAAAAATTATCTGTAGATACATGGAAAATTTTTGTCTAAGTTTATCTGTACATATTTTAAGTTATTTATGTTTTAATTATTGTATTTTAATTTTTATTTTATTTTTACTTCTTGATATAATTATATTAGTTTTAATCATATATATCAACAAAATTAATTATAATCAACATAACTCTATAATACATAAAAAGAAAACGCGTTAATATTTAAAATTTTATTTGTATTCGATAATTTTCAAATAGGAAATAAGGTTGCATACACTTAGATTATTTCTGACAGAAAAAAATTTATTCGTTAAGAAACAAAGCCCGGAAGAGTTTCGCTTAAGTAGGTATTTACATATACTTGCACATACATGCTTAAATACTCATTTAACAATTTATTACGATCATCTTTGTGTTTGGTCCCAATAAGTACAAGTAGGGTTACATGCCCTTAGATTATTTCTGACAGAAAAAAATTAATTCGTTTATAAACAAAGCTTGGAAAAGTTTCGCTTAAGTAGAAATGTACATATACGCGCACATACACGCTTAAATATTCATTTAACAATTTATTACGGTTGATTCTGTGTTTGGTGCCAAAAATACAAATAGGGTTACATACTCTTAGATTATTTCTGATGGAGAAAAGTTTATTTATGAATAAATAAAGCCGGGAAGAGTTTTGCTTATGTAGATATTTACATATACGCGCTCATACATGCTTAAATACTCATTTAAAAATTTATTACGATCATCCCTGTGCATGGTCTTAAAAAGTACAAGTAGTGTTGCATACTCTTAAATTATTTCTGACAGAAAAAAATTAATTCGTTAATAAACAAAGCCCGTAAGAGTTTCGTTAAAGTAGATATTTACATATACGCGCACGTACACGCTTAAATACTCATTTAACAATTTATTACAATCATCCCTGTGCTTGATCCCAAAAAGTACGAGTAGGGTTACATGCTCTTAGATTATTTCTGACAGAAAAAAATTAATTCGTTAATAAACAAAGCCCGAATAAGTTTCGCTTAAGTAGATATTTACATATACGCGCTTATACATGCTTAAATACTTATTTAACAATTTATTACGACCATCCCTGTGCTTGGTCCCAAAAAGTACGAGTAAAGTAACATGATCTTAGATTATTTCTGAAAAAAAAAATTATTTCGTTATAAAACAAAGCCCGTAAAAGTTTCGTTAAAGTAGATATTTACATATACGCGCACGTACACGCTTAAATACTCATTTAACAATTTATTACGATCATCCCTGTGCTTGGTCCCAAAAAGTACAAGTAGGGTTACATGCTCTTAGATTATTTCTGACAGAAAAAAATTATTTTGTTATAAAATAAAGCCCGAAAAAATTTCGCTTAAATATATATTTACATATACGCGTTCATACACGCTTAAATACTCATTTAACAATTTATTACAATCACCCTGTGCTTGATCCCAAAAAGTACGAGTAGGGTTACATACTCTTAGGTTATTTCTGACAGAAAAAAATTAATTCGTTAATAAACAAAGCCCGTAAGAGTTTTGTTAAATTAGATATTTACATATACGCGCACGTACATGCTTAAATACTCATTTAACAATTTATTACGATCATCCCTGTGCTTGGTCCCAAAAAGTACGAGTAGGGTTACATGCTCTAAGATTATTTCTGAAAAAAAAAATTATTTCGTTATAAAACAAAGCCCGAAAAAGTTTCGCTCAAATAGATATTTACATATATGCGCCCATACACGCTTAAATACTAATTTAACAATTTATTACAATCATTCCTGTGCTTGATCCCAAATAGTACAAGTAGGGTTACATGCTCGTAGATTATTTCTGAAAAAAAAAAATTATTTTGTTATAAAACAAAGCCCGAAATAATTTCGCTTAAATAGATATTTACATATACGCGCTCATACACGCTTAAATACTCATTTAACAATTTATTACAATCATCCGTGTGCTTGATCTCAAAAAGTACGAGTAGGGTTACATGCTCTTAGATTATTTCTGACAGAAAAAAATTATTTCCTTATAAAACAAAGCCCGAAAAAGTTTCGCTTAAATAGATATTTACATATACGCGAACATACACGTTTAAATATTCGTTTAATAATTTATTACGATCATCCCTGTGTTTGGTCTCAAAAAGTACGAGTAGGGTTACATGCTCTTAGATTATTTCTGACAGAAAAAAATTATTTCGTTAATAAACAAAGCCTGAAAAAGAATATATTTTAAATTTTGTCATGTTATAATATCGTCAATCAAACATCTTCGATTAAATTTATTTAAATTTTATTAATCGTTACACATATTTAATTAATGGAAATAGAGAAATTATATTGATTTTCTTAAGTCAATCATTAATGGAAGAGATTTGCTTTAAATTTGCTATATTTAATCGTCAATTATATACTTTTTAATTGTTTCTGCTCAAATCAATTGTTAATTAAATTGTCTTCGATCGAATCTGTTTTATTTACTGACCATTAAAGTACTTTTAATTTAATTTAACTTATATTAATCGTTTAATTAAAAAATTTTCAATTTAATTAGCTTGTATTAATCGTTTAATCGATCGCTCTTCGATTAATTTCGTTTATGTCAATTTTTTATTAAATAACCTTCAATTGACTGCAATCATATTAATCGTTATATAAGCGATCTTCGATAAATCTAACTTATATCAATCGTCATTCTAACGATCTCTAATTAATCTTTTTAAAATTAATCGTCAATTCAAAATATTTTAATTACATTTGATTACATCTGTTTGTAATTAAATGTCATAATTAATTTAAAAAGTAATTAATTAATCAGCATCTCTGTTTAGCACAGACTTTTCAAAAAATAATTTTTTAATACAAAACATGATAACATTTCATTTGTAATTGTTTGTAGTAAAAATAATTTTGTAGGTTGTAGTTTAATTAAAAAATAAAAAAACATTAAAATAATAACCAGCATTTTAAGAGATTTCAAATCCACTTGCGTAGTCTTTTTTAGAATCATTTGTAATTTTCGTTTTCTTTATAGTTGCATGGTTTACACAAATTGCAATTGTTTAAACAAATGGTCAAGAATGAAATTTGTCAATTTTGTTGATTTTTCAGATCTGGTTTTTCCAAGTGATTTAGACTCGTTTGTAGTTGTTTGTAGCAATTGCAATCGAAAATTATATATTGATGGAAAAAGCAGATTTGAAAAATCTTTAAAATTGACAAAAACTTTTGACAATTTTTTAAAATAATTTCTAAACCGTGCAACTACAAACGATTCTAAAAAGGACTGCGCAAGCAGATTTGAGATATCTTAAAGTTGGATGCTGTTCATTTTATTTTTTTTTAATTGATTACAAACGATATTATTGTTATACTGCAAACGAAATACTATCATTTTCCGTATTAAAAAATTATAAAGTCAGATGCCAGATTCACATAGCTTACATGTATGTGTGAATAAAATATGTTAGTTGAACAAAAATATATATTAACGTCGCTGTATTATATGCATTTTATTATTCTGATTAAATATTCTTATGAAGGAATCGTCCGTCTTTTTCGTAATTAGCCTCCGGTGCACGGTCATTGTTATTCTCTATTACCGCAAGGC